GAGGGCTAACCCAGTAACAGAGCACTCACTTATCATGTACAAAGCTCTGGATTTGATCCCCAGCACTGAAAATAATTGTTATTTTGTTCAAAATACAGCCAGGTTGCATTTCATGGAGGCATTGTATTCTTAGAAATCACTTTTCTCACAAATGTATTTAATGGAAAGTCTCTAAGGTGAAAACGTGGAAAATGTGTATAATAGTTTTGTTTTGCTTTTTTATTTTCTTTGAGGCAGGGTCTTGCTATGTGGTTCAGTTTGGCTTTGAACTCACTATGTAGCTGGCCTGAACTCACGGCAGTCTTTCTGCCTCAGCCTCCCGAGTGCTGGGATCTCAGGCATGCACCTGACTGTTCCCAAAGTGAATGTGACAGTCTCCATCAGAGAAGCAGGGGAACTAGGGGCCTTTCTGTGCTTTAGGGTCTCAACCCCTCATTTCCCTGCCTCACAAGACCAGTGTCTTTGGCTGCAGCATTTTTATGTACAAGAGCATCTAAAAAAATAAGATACCTAGGAATAAATTAGCCAAGGGTTAATTAAAGGTGATCTAAATAAATGAAAAGACATTCCATGTTTGTGAGTAAGAAAAATGAAGTGTGTGTTAGGTTATCAGTACCACCCAAAGTGATCTACAGATTCAATGCAATCTCTATCAAAATTCTGGTAGCCTTTTTTTCTTTTTGCAGAAACAGAAAGCTGATATTCACATTCATAGGAAATTGCAAGGTATACCTCAAATAACCAAAAGAGTTTTGAAAAATGAGCAAAATTGGAAGGCCCACACTTTCCAAATTTAAAACCCAATTACAAAGCTGTGGTAGTCAAAACAGTGTGGTAGTGCCATAAAGATGGATGTGTAGACAGGGAGAATAAGAATAGAATTGGGAGTCCAGAAATCCAAGCCCCTATGGCTAGTTGAACTTTTGACAAGACTGCCAGATCCGTTCAGTGGGGAAAGAAAGAACAACCTTTCCCACAGCTCGTGCTGGGACAACCAGATTTTCATGTGGAAAAAAGAATGGGAGTGGAACCCTGCCTACCACACATCACGTACAAAGATGAACCCAACAAGGACCAGCTTACACCTTCCTAAGCAAGCACAGGGCTCTGTCGATATCAGAAAGGATAACGTGGCAATTATTTTATTCTATGAGAATAGAGTTCCTTAGGGAGAACACATTTTGTGTATGTAATTCATTTGCTCTGCAGATACTTCTTGAACAACAGTGTTGTGCCAGTGTTCTCTTCTGGGCACGGGGGGATACAGCAGTGACGAACCCGGCTTATCCCTGACTTGATACGATGGAGGGTCTGCAGGGGGCGCTAGACAGTAAGGAGTGAGTGACTTCCAGTTTGATTTGCAGGAGAGAAGTGCTCTTGAGTATGAGTATAGGGAGCACTGCCCTCAAGGGACTTCCTGAGCGGGGGGAGATTGTGCCGTTCAGGGGACGGTGGGAATAATGAGGAGAGAGCAGAAGGGGAAAGTGGGGTCAGCTCCTGAGTGTCTCCGGTTTGGGGCTACCTTCAGAGGCAGTAGTGGGGTGCATATGAGTTTCTTGTTATCTTTTGCTTCTTTTTTTTTGGTACTGGGGATCGAACTTGTGACCTTGCACTTGCGAGACAGGCAGCTGCACCACTGAGCTAAATCCCTGGCCCTCTGTTGCTTCTGACTCAGGCTGCTGTGCTGAATGGATTTTTTCTGTGTTCCCTCCACCACCTAGAATCTCCATAGCATTTTGTGCAGAAGAGATACTCAGTAAATGAGCCAGCGGTGAGAGAAAGTACTTGAGACATTCCTAGATGTTCTGTTTGTTTCACTGCAATAAAATTCCAAAGAAAATTTGGGCTAGGAGTGTCGCCCTGACAGCTTGTGTAACATGTGTAAAGCCTGGGTTCAATGTCTAGCAGTACACGTGCACACACAGGGAGAGAGAAGAGGGAGGGAGCAAGAATTTATCTTAGTTTGTGACCTCCTATTAAGTAATGACATTGTTAAGAAGCTGCCTTCAGAAAAAGTATAAGTAATGCCTTCTTCACAAATTATGCTTTAAAAACTTGCTTATATTTTAATTTAAAATAGAAATTTCTTCTATGTAATTTAAACTTTCATCTTGAATAGATGTGCTGTGAATGGCTTATATAATTTCTGCCAGGGAGTCAATACGAACTTTATATAAGCCACTGGCATTTGTGATCAAAATGCTTTAACTTGCCCTGATGTTGGCATTAACAAGTGCTTGTGGGTTAGTGGCATGGAAGGAATCGCGCTAAAACCATCGAGGAGCTCATTGATGCCTGAGGCTTTAAAATGCTCTCTGTGGGCCATTTAACTGCTGGCAGCTTTAATTCACATGATTCATAGTACTGGAAATGGAAATTCACTCTTAAATGAAAAGTGAAGTTACTTAAGTTCTTTAAATGCTAACCTTTGGAAGAATCCGAGAAATAATGGCCGCATATGATTTTGATGGCCCACTGCCAAAAGATTATTCTGTACATAAATACCTCCTTAGCAGAGGAGTTGTGTGCCCAGCTCAGAAGGTTAGCGCGGCCCGCAGCCTGGAGAGGAGCCGCTGCTGCTCCTGAATGGCAGCATTGTTGAGAACACTGTTCGCATTCAGGCTCAGGCGCACTGGAATTAACTCGCAGTTAATTTGTTTCATGTGACTCGTCAGCTGTGTGTTTTTATCTAAATCTTTCTGCCCTTTCTTCTTTTGTGTGATGTGAGAGACTCCTCAAATAGACGAACTACCTTTTTAACTGTTTCAGTTCTGAGATTCTGGCCACTTGAGCACACAGTCCAGTGCAGTCATTCTCCAGGTTTTCTGTTTCATTTTAAATACATTTAATAATCAGTCTGAATGCTGTTTTACTTTATTAAAAGTCATCCTATTTCAGAGAGCATTTCTGTTCTGGGCGTGTGTGAGTCTGTGAAATGCATCAAGTCCAAATTGCTATCTTTCTCTCCTCACTAACATGCTATTCTTTCCTTGTTTGCTAATTTTGTTCTCTGGATTTTCCCTTAGATGACTTTTAATATTTGGCTACTAGTCAAGTGGAGTCTGAGCAGAAAAGTGCTAGCCCCAAGGAAATCCAGGTGGTCACTTGTATCAGAGTGAGGTTCCCGCTTCTCTTCGGAGGGCTTCTCTGAAGCTGTACTCACTCAGTACAGCCTGGTGTTCCATCTGGTGACTTTCAAGCCATGATCTGAGGAACACTAAACCCCCCAGTAGGCCGCCATGTCCAGTCACACACTGCCCTAGGTTTGGTGTTCACAGGTATCTGCCCATGGTCAGCACGGTCAGCCATGGCTTCCGGAAGTCTCTCCCTGGTGTTTGAGAACACACACCACCACCACCACCCCCCGCCTGCTGCCACCTCCACACTGGCACAGAGAAGCTTGACCTGCTGTTTGCAAAATGAAAACAACTCTCTGTGCACATTGGCACACAGCTGTAATCCCAGCTGCTTGAGAGGCTGAGGCAGGAGGATCCAAAATTCGAGCCCAGCCCAAGTCTCGTCTTGGGGTAATAAAGGGCTGGGACTCTAGCTCTGTGAGAAGCCCTGGGTTCAACCCCAGTACCACAGAACAATGACAGAACACCTGTGCGCTCACTCTTGGCTAGCTGTTTCCTCGGCGTAGTTTCTGATGACCTATATCTGTCGCTCATTCTTGTCCACTGCTGAGTCCCAAAGCAGTGTGTGGGGACCAGGCCTTTTTCCTCATTCCGCTGTTAGCAGTTGGGAGGTTTTTGCCCTCCTATCTTGCAGTGTCTCCCTGGGTTCCCATTCTCTCTCCAGTGCACCTCATATGTGGCCTCTTGAGTGGCAGGCAAGTACCTGGCATCCCACGCGGAGCTGCTGGCCTTGTCTCCATGGACCACTTCCACCGCTGAGCAGTGGTCACAGTCCTGATAGTGCCTTTAACAAATAAGGACTACTGTTTCTGCGTTCAAGAACCTCTGCCTGATGCAAAATTGTTTGTTTGAAATCAACTATGTAAGAAATTCCACATAATAAAAGACCAAGTGATAAGTTAGTAATTATTGTGTGATTAGTAAAATATACGTGGTTTTTTTCCCAGTCTGCTTTTCTGTATTTCCTGTATCCTTCCATAACAAAAATAAACCTTTTCTTTTTGGTACTGAGGATTTAACCCAGGACCTTTGCATTGAGCTATATTCACAGCTCTTTTTCTTTTTTAAATTGTTTTTATATTGAGACAGGGTCTTTGTTCAAGACAGGCTCAGGCTGGGCTCAAACTTGCGGTCCTCCTGCCACAACCTCCCAGAGTGCTGAGATTACAGATGTGTACCGCCATGCCTAGATAAAACCGTTTTTTAAAAAGAAAAAGCCTGAGCTGGGTGTATAGCTTAGTGGTAGAGCACTTGCCTGGGTTTGTTCCTAGCACTGCAAAAAAAGAAGAAAAAGAAGCCTGTCCTAATAGTTTTCTAGTTTTTATAATTTACTTAAAGTTCTTAGTTTTTCTGTAAAAGAAAGAGCCATAGTATTCTATTAAATCATGGGGTCCAGAACCAAAGTCTCCCAAGGGGTGTGATTTTGGGCAGGTTTTGTTTTTGTTTTTGTTTTTGAAACAGGGTCTTGCTCTGTAGCCCAGACTGGCCCTTCACTCATGGCAGTCCTCCAGTTTCAGCCTCTTAAGTGCTGGGATAAGAGGTGTGCGCTACCACGCCCAGCTGAGCAGGGGTTTCATCTCTCTGGAGCCCACTGTCTTCCTTGGTCCATTGAAAACTCGTGTCTCCCATTATGTTACTTTCTTTCCTTCCTTTCCCAGAACAAGTCCTCCCCTGACTTCACTCACTGTTACTGTGGTCATCTTGTAACTATACCACTTACTTGGATTTCTTTTCTTTAAACAGTTTTTAAAAATGAAAGTAAGGTATATAATGTGCTGTTTGTGCAAGTAACAAGTTTTAGGTTGTATAGAATTAGACTTTCTCATAGTGACACGAATGACCTTTTGCCTTTCTTGTTTGAAGGATATCAAAGAATATTCCAACAACTAAAGATGTTGAGCCACTGCTTGAAATTGATGGAGACATAAGGAATTTCGAAGTGTTTTTGTCTTCAAGGACCCCCGTTCTTGTAGCTCGAGATGTGAAAACCTTCCTGCCGTGCACCGTGAACCTGGACCCCAAGCTCCGGGAGATTATTGCAGGTGGGTGTTAGGGCACACTTGATTTTGACTGTCTGAAGTCCTCAGAAAGTTTTTTCTGCTCCATGAAAAGTCAAGATGTCTGAGCTGAGTACCACACAGGAGAATAAATAAAATATAGGAGTTTGGGAATGTTAAGAAAATGTTAGCTGGGGTGGTGAAAGCACACCTGTAATCCCAGCACTCAGGGAGGCTGAGGCAGGAGGATCACAAGTTTGAACCTAGCCTGGACGAATTAGTGACTTAGGGAGACCCTGTCTCAAAAAAAAAAAAAAACGGGCTGGAAATGTAGCTCAGTCCAAAGGCCCTGGGTTCAACACCCAGTGCGACCACCAAAAAAGAAAGTCATGTGTTCACTTCCCACCCTGCCCCCAAGGTCTTTGGAACTTGGGAATCTGATTGCTTTTAACATATGACAGCCAGGGATTTAGCTCAGTGGTTTCACTGCCTGCTGCACAAGCGCAAGGACCTGAGTTCAATCCCCAGTACCAACAAACAAACAAACAAAAAGACATATGACAGTGACTCTGGGATGACAGTCCCTTACAGCTTTCTTGTCTTTCTCCAGAGGAGGGAGGAAGTCTTCATGAGTGTCTCAGTTTTTAACTTGAGGAGGAGACTGGAGCTGGAGGAAGCGACTCCACTTGGGGCCAGGAAGGGAAGTTCTTGAGCCACCACTGTGCACAGCACCCACCCTGCAGTGCCCATCGGTTAGACACAGTGCCTAACACCAACAGCTCAAGGTGGAGAGCTTTATTTGACTTAGTCTGTACAGGTTTCAGCCATAATCAGCGGCTCCAAGGCCAGCGGCCTGGCAGAGGGGCCTTGCAGAGGAGAGACAGTGCACTGCAAGCAGGTAGGCTGGAGGCAGCCACAGTGAGGCAGCAAGCAGCAGCGACGGCAGCAGCCCTCTCTCTGTCTCCTATATTCTATCCAGGCTGCACCCCCTGAGGGCGGTGGCACCCACACCCAGGGTGGGCTTCCCATTATCCACACCCAGATCTGTGCCAGCCCAGTCAGTAACCACACACCCTTACCCCCAGAATCACACACGCCAGACCTAGCCACCCCTGAAAAGCCCCACCTGTGACCGCCCAAGGCTCTGGGGTGCATGGAGACACAGCCATGGCCAGGCCTTCCTCATGATGTGGCTCTGCTGGCCCACCCTGGAGTTTTCCAAAAGTTAGGAAAAGGTCACCTCAGACCAGTTTGGCAGGATGAGAAGGTGAAAAGAGGAACACAAGGGCAGGTCTGAGGGGACGTTCGTGGAGCCGTTCTGCAGCGGGGAGTAGGACAGTGCTTGCCGGACAGAAGGGGCTGGGCCTGGTGGGGTCATGCTTAGACAGGAAGAGGGAGTTCTTGCCTCCATTACACAGCCAGGGCCTGTAGTCACCAGTGGAGAAATGCATATGGCAGCGTCCCCCGAGAGTGTCACTGCAGTGTGCGGATGCAGCAGAGTAGCACACTGAGCCCTGTGCATATCAGCAGTCATTGTGTGTCACATACAAGGCATGGTGTGGAGCTCAGCAGTGAAGCACTTGCCAAGCATGCACAAGGCCCTGGGTTCGGCCTCCAGTACCATGGAAGTTAAATCATAAACAGGGCCTGCATGCTCTGCGAGGGCACCTGTGACAAGACTGGCGTCCGAGGTTATTTCCTGCCTGGGATCTGTCCCTTGGAGGTGGAGGAGCCTTCTAGTTTGATCACCAATAGTCTTAGCTAACCTTGTATGAGTTAGTATTTGTCCATGCTGAGTCCCTGGGGGTTGGTAACCCCTGATGAGGCATAAGGATTGTTAGCGCACCACATATCTTTTAAAAGTCAGAATAATTAGGGGCCAGGGATGTAGCTCAGTGGTGCCACGCCTGCCTAGCAAGCACAAGGTCCTGAGTTTGATCCCTGCAACCAAAAAAAAAAAAACCAGAATAATTAATAAGGCGGATAACTAAGGAGAAAAGTCCAGATATTGTGGCTTATCAGATGGTGACAAAAGCTTTTGTGCACAACAATTGGGCTTCTTGAACTCGGGTTCAGATGGAGTAGTCCAGATTCCTGTCCTCTTGGATCAGTCGTCTCTGTAGAGAGGGCCCCGTCCCACATCGGGCAGGGAGTGGGTTGGACTAACGCTTGTGTCCTCGGCTTCTTCGTCCTGGGTCTGGTGGACTTGTGCAGACGTCCGCGCTGCCAGGGAGCAGATCAACATCGGAGGACTGGCCTACCCGCCCCTGCCCCTGCACGAAGCTCCTCCTCCTCGAGCACCGTCGGGATGCAGCCAGCCCCCCTCGGTCTGCTCCTCCTCCACATCCTTCAATGGGCCATTCGCAGGCGGGGTGGTGTCCCCGCAGCCCCACAGCAGCTACTACAGCGGCATGACGGGCCCCCAGCACCCATTCTACAACAGGGTAAGCAGAAGGGCCTCCTCACGGCCAGCAGTTTCTTCCAGGGAATCACACGAGTCCTCTGCTGCAGATTCTGTTTTTAAACCGAACTTTGACTTTAGGTAAAAGGTAATATCTAAATGTAAAATGTGCTTTTTGAAAATCAAAAGATTTATTTTGCATTTTTGTATGCTCTAGATCTCGAAAGAATCTGAATATTAGCTTGTAATTTTTATTTTCTTGGTAAGAAAGTAAACTGCAAGGTCATCCGTGACTATCCATTGCTTTAAAAGAATCTGTTTCTGGGGCTGGGGCTTACCTCAGTGGTGCTGTGCCTGCCTCGCAAGCACAAGGTCCTGAGTTGATCCCTGGTACCAGGGCAAAAATAAAAAAAGAACGTGTTTATCTTTTTTGGTATACCTTGTAAAATAACTTATATTGGCATTTACAGCAATGACCAACTGAATGAAATTCCTGTAGTAGTTCATTGTTCCTGTACTTAATTTTGTCTTAAATGCGAGAGAATAATGGAAAATACTTCTTGTAAGGCTCAGATATTATTGCCAATTAATACCACCATAGTCCATTTTTAGAATTTTATTTCAAATTACTTTCGGTTCTGTATAATTGCTTACTCAATATAAATACATAGTTTTCTAGAGGAAAACACAGTCATCAGGAGGAGCCAGGCCTTACCGGTTTTAGTTGCCCCAAGCTGTCTGTTCTCATTTTTGACCTTAAACACTAATAGTTCTTGTAAGAAAAAGGTTGTGGGCACAGCTTGTTGCTTCCTGGACCTGTACTCTTGAGATCAGTAGCAATTTCTGATTTTTTTTGTCTCCCTATATAGTCTAATTCAAGAAAATGTCAGTATTCATGGAAGCCAGTTGCCTCCCTAAATAAATTTCATAGAGCTGGCAAGAAAGAGAAGTTTAGGGCCAGGGATTTAGCTCAGTGGTTCCGGTGCCTGCCTCTCAAGCACAAGGTCCCGAGTTCGATCGCTGGTACCAAAAAAAAAGAAAGAGAAGTTTATGATAAATGTGGCCCAAAAGGAACTCCAGAACTTAAATTTGCAGCTTTTGAAAAATACTGGCCATGTCAGTAGTTAGGGCTGCTCTTTCTAAAGGCCCTGGGGATGTTATTCCTTGTTTCTATTCAGTCAGAAAAGGAAACACAGGTGGAACAGTGGTGTTTCATACTGCATTTCTATCCTTATAAAAGTGAACTGTGTAGGGCAGGGGATTTAGCTCAAATGATTTTGGCGCCTGCTGCGCAAGCGCAAGGACCCAAGTTCAATCCCTGGTACCAAAAAAAAAAAAAAAAGTGAACTGTGTGGTAGGCATGAAATGCACATGAAATGCTGATTTTTATTTGCCAGTCTTAAAATCTGATATGATTTTGCATAGAATGAGTCAACTGCTGTCAGTTGAAATTTTGAGACTAAGAAGTTTATTTAAAAAAAAAATTACCAGACCATCTAGGCTGAATGAGATCTTATGTTCACTGGTTTCAAAAATAACAGTCGTGTTACCAGGTTTGGCAGTGCACATCTATAACCCTAGTCACTTGGGAGGCTGAGGGAGGAGCAAGCATTACATGTTCAAGCCCAGCCTAGGCAACTTAATGAGACCCTGTTTGAAAAATAAGAAATAAAAAAGGCTGGGATGTAGCTTAGTGTGAAGGCTGGGTTTAATGGAATTATATTAATTTTAAAACATTTCACATGTTCTTATTTTTAAGCCTAGTGATTTTTCTGCTGTTTTTGCCTTTGTTAATTGAGGATGTTTAGCCTTAAAAGAATAGTTCTCTTACCCTGTCAGGAGTAAAGACAGCAAGGGAAGATGGACCCTGGTGGAGTGGAATGCAGTGACTTTGCATTTGTGTGTCTGACCCGATCACCTGATGCTGCAGTTACAGGTCTCTGTGTACTTTTCAAAGATAGGGTGTGTGCTTAGGGTACAGAGCACACTGGTGTCAGATCTCGGGAAACTTGGGGACATGGAACGCCCCTGTTCCCAGAATTCATGCTGGGGTTGTTCTATGATCCTAATCTTTTCGGGACTTTTTAGGTTTTTTTTTTTAAAGGGAAAAGTATTCTAATAAGGAATATATAAGATTCTAATCTTTTTTATAAAAGAGAGTGTGAGGCAACGTATGTAGATCACTTAGGACCCGACACAGGAAAAACCTGTAAACTTCTTAAAAGTGTGAAATACATTTGTGTCAGACTGTAAGGCGTAAGACTTTACTTGTTATTTTTAAAGCTTATGTTAAGTGAAGAATATAAGAATGTGAATAATATGTCTTAAATTTGGGTTGACATCTCATAAAGTACGAGGGAGACGTTTTTATTCTTTTATTTTGTCACTTGCATTAATACTTTGGAGTTGTGTTTGATTGGTTAGTTTCATTTGCTAAATCTCATGACACTTTGATTTCTGTGATTGTTCATTTTTTGTTACGTGTTTCTCCATAGCCATTCTTTGCCCCATACCTTTACACGCCAAGGTATTGCCCTGGCAGCTCCCAACATCTCATCTCACGTCCATCTGTAAAAACAAGTTTACCTCTCAGAGAGCAGAGCAGTGGCCTAGTAAGTATATCAAGGGGAACTGGAATGTTGGTCTTATGAACACAGGCGGCATCGGAAATGGGGTGACTTCCCTTTCGGAGCAGAAAAGTGCAACTGATTTTATAAATAGTGTTATTACTAACATAAAATGTATTTCATTCTATGTACTGGTAAATTTCTGGGGAGGGAAAATGACTAGCAGTTTCAGGACTAAATGTTGAGTTTTTACAAGCAGAGATTTCTGGCTTGTAATACAGTGCTCGTTATCAAAACTTTTAAAACTAATCTTTTACATCTGCTAATTTCTACTATGTCTTTAAAGGAAATATATATGTATATATTAGCACCGTGGTATAAATAATAGAGGGTATAGTGAAAGAAAACCATTTCTGTCTAATGGCACAAATTAAACAGGTTAAGGGGAAATCATTCAAATGTATTAAAAACAAAATGCATTTGTGCCTAATACCTTAGTAGGGGTTCCTGATGACAAACTTGAGTTCAAGTGACAATGAAAAAGTCCATTGATGAATTTTAATGAAATTTTAAAATACCTCAAAGGGGGCATGAAGTCCCATCGGTGCCTCGGTCAGCGAGGTCTGTGCTTCTGCCCTTCATCTTCATAGCCGGCTCATCCTGCCCTCTCCCTCTCCTGTCCCACGCTAGGCAGTTATCAAGGAGGACGCTGCCGAGGGGCTTCCTTCCCCTACAGACTCCTCGAGGGTAACGGCGCAGTCTTGCGGCCTGGACGCTGGCGTGCGTGGCTTCGCAGCTCGGCTGCCCTAATCACCATGGCCACAGCTCACTAACAGCTCTTGAGGCATAGAATAGCCGACTACTAATCATTAGAGCTCGTGGATTAATTCGGAAATGGATGCTTAACTTTATCCTGTATTTCCTCCTGCTTTTCCCCTTCTTCAGTGGGGTAGGATGGGTCTTTTATTCTTCAACAGGGAAGGAATTTTTTCAGCAGCCATGAGGAGTAAGCAGCTGTATTTGTTCCTTAGGGTTGAGCTCTCTTTTCATCTTTGACTGTTTTGATAAGGCTTGTACTTGTCACTACATGTGGAAAATCACCTGTGAGACTACAGAAGACATGAGCTAGATGGAGTGTACTTTTATCTGTTTATTAAAATAAAATTTCTAGACAGAGCAAGTTCAGCATGTGAAGGAAGTTTCATACATCTATACAGTGGTACTGTATTTTGGTGATGCTTTTGTTTGCAAACAATTGCAACAGAAGCATTTGGCCAAATTTTGTTTTTGTTTGCAAACTCTGCATTGGGTGACAAACACGAACTCGGCCATCTTTCCCACACAAACACAATGTAGCTATCTTTTCCAAAATCATAGAACAAATGAAGTTCGTAAACTGAGGTATCACTGTATTTCCTTAACACTTTAAGTTAGGTTTCTTTAAAAAAACAAACCCATAGAGGAAGTCACTTGGCAGTGATTATCCAAGACCATATACTTAGTAAAAAATATTTGTGTCAAGCCTTAAAATTTTGTAGGGGCTGGAGGTGTAGCTCAGTGGTCGAGTACTTGCCTAGCATGTGTGAGGTCCTGGGTTCTATTCCCAGCACTGCAAAAAGGAAGAGAACCAAATTGTTTGAGCATGTAGGGAATCTCTGTGGGTCATCACCACTCCACACAGGAGTGACTTTTAACGTAGTACAATTCCTGTGTGTACCACCATTCTTTTTTTTTTTTTCTTTTTTTTCTGGAGCTGGGAATCGAACCTAGAACCTTAAGCATGGTAGGCAAATGCTGAGCTACATCCCCAGCCCCTGTACTGCCATTCTTGGAGCTACAGTTTCTCAGCAGATTTTGATGGAAATCAGATCCTTTGCGGAAGTTCATGGTTTTTGTGATATAGACCTACTGTAGCAGTAGCCATTCCTGTGCTCAAAAATGTCGGCAAACACTCGACAGAAAAGGTATAGTAGCTTTTTTCTTCCAGAGACCACTGGAAAAGGCCAGTTTTGCAGTGAGTTTTGGGGGGAAGGGGAAATAATGCAGTTCCTGAGCCATGTTAGACACCCAGTAACAACGTATGAAAGTCCTCTACCTGCTTTTAGTGCCTTTGTTTAGTAAAATAACCATATGATTTGTTGTTCTTTTAAAATATAGTTTAATAATTGCTGTAGTTCGTACTAGATGCTCACCAGGCTTCCTTTGCTGTTGAGAATTTACCACTGGCATAGCATGTAAGATATGTTTTGTACAAGACTAGTCTACATAGACACATAGTTCAATGTTGAATCCAAAGCAGCAGTGGAAATGCAAAGGACTCATGCATGTGACCATCACCAGGTGTTCTCCAGCAGGACTGATGGCTGACTCTTGTCACTTGGTCACCTGTCCGCTGCATGTAGTTTTTATGAGAAAGGCTGCTATAATAGGTCAGGAGCTAGGGCTGGGGATTTAGCTCAGTGGTGCTGGGGTCTGCCTGGCAAGCACAAGGTCCAGAGTTCGATCCCTGGTACTGAGGAAAAAAAAATTTAGGAGCTAAACAAACATTTTTGAGCAAATTGTCATTACAGATAAAGAATAATGTAAGGGGGAAAAAAGCCAGACTGAAAAGGGTTAACCAGCTATGGTATTTTCTAAATAATAGGTGGAGTCTTCTTTTTTTACCACAGGAGTTTCTGATCAAACTTTAAAAGACTGAGCCTTAGGAAAATAGTTGAGTTTTCTTTCATTTAACATTGTAAGGATTATATAGCTTATGAAGTCTAGCCATGGATTGATCAGATCGGTTATAATACATCCACGTGTTTCACAAAGGAAAGGACTTATAAAATATGTGTCCACGCTAGTTTCCCCTAAAATTTTATCACTGAGGGAGAGTAAATGCCAATTGTTTTTCTTTTTTTTTTTTTTGGTGCCAGGGATGGAACTGAGGACCTGTGCTTGGGAGGCAGGTGCAGTGCCACTGAGTTAAATCCCTGGCCCGCCAGTTCTTTAAAAATGGAAAAATAAGTTAGACCCACAATATGGTGGACTAGTGTTTCCCAGCTTTTCTAGGCAGAGAATTCTTTTTCAGGAATGAGGTCTAAATCTGAACTCCATTTCATAAAACCAGGAGAGTAGGCCTAGCCCCCACCTTGTGGTGTCTCCCTTCCTGAGGCTCCTGGGGACAGTTAGAATTTACCTGGATGTAGGCACACAGAGACCATATATAGCACAGTTGCAGCAGGAGAAATGGAAACAAGCAGACAGATGCAGTATGAAATCCTTACTGCATAGAATTAGCTTACTGTCCTGCTGTAATCTTGTGGCCACCTCCTGTGGCTATTGTGGGGAGCCTACAAGCTGCAAGAATCCACTTACAACACCTGGTGAGTCAGGTGTGGTGGTGCATACTTGTAATCCAGAACTCTGGGAGGCTGAGGCAAGAGAATTGCAAGTTGGAGCCCAGCCTGAGTAGCTTAGCCACTTAGCAAGACCCCGTCTTTAAAGAATGGAATGGAATGGAATGGGGCTGGAGATATAGCTCAGTGAGGAGGCCCTGGGTGAAATCCCCAGTATCACAAAAACCAGCAACAGATCTGCTGTACCATGCTGTGAGAAGTCTATCCCTGCGGTAAACTGGGTGTTGAGGTACAGAGTGGTCTTCAGGGAGCTAGTGTGTTTTTACTGTGTGTAGACCCCTAGCATGCAAGATCTGGGGTAACTGCCCTTACTAGTAAAGCTTCTGGGCAGCAGCCGGCTGTCAGCCATGAAGGTTTTAGGGTGTCAGAAGCTCACACTGAGTCTGACCCCCACATTGCTCTGGCTCCACGGCAGTGTCATCTGGGTAACCCTGTGCCCTCGTGGAGGGAAGAACCACTCAGAGGGCCTGTATGGGGCCAGGGTCCCTCAGTGACACTGACTCTGTGCTGCGACCTCCAAGGGCTGCCCTGAAGAGCTGCACGTCTCCTGCTCCTGGCGGCGTCTGTCCCTTGGCGGTTTGTTTTCAAAGGAAGGAATAGCGTGGCCCTCCCGCAGCCTTCTGTCGAGCCCCAGCCCATCCCACACCAGCACTACTGATGCCTGGGTGCCATGGCTGATGCGGAGCTCCAGGCAGGGGACCGAGCAGGAGCAGCACTCCATAGTGACCACCAAGGCCATGGCGTTGCCAGCAGCCTGCAGTCCCCACCTTCTCAGGGCCTCTCCAGCTTCAGGTGGCTTTTCAGGAACGACACAGCAGAGGTTAGCAGGGGTCTAGTTGTAAGGAATTTTAGAATCACTAAGGCAGCATTAATCCAATGTTGTGATTTCCAGGCTGCTCTTGCCTTTATTTGGAGAAATTGATGAAAACTATCGGCTTAACGCAGGTCTTGCTTTTCATTAAATAAGATCCAGTTAAATGGAGTGACCAAGTAAAAAGTGAAAAAGGGCTGGGGATTTAGCTCAGTGGTTCCAGCGCCTGCCTCTCAAGTGCAAGGTCCCGAGTTCTATCCCCGGTACCAAAAAAACCCAACAAAACAGTGAAAAAGAGGGGCTCACCTGTAGAGAATTTTTATTTCCACCACTGGTTTACAACATGTAAGCTGTGTTCAAGTAAGTGTATGCCCAACCAGGCTGCCTCTGTCTGCTCAGGAGAAGACTCGTATGAACAAGTCACAGACGCCGAGGGTAAGGGGCCGGGCGCCTTAGCGTTCCACTGGGCTGAGGCTTGGGCCGAGGACCTGCAGCAGCTTCAGCCAGTCTGGGCCCCACATAGTAAGCAACATTTTAGTAGTATTTTCATTGATCTGTTTGAGTTTGGAGAAGAAAACACTGTATTACTTCCTGCTTGCAAGTCTTTGTACCAGACTTCAATCAAGGAATCATTTCCCTCTAAACAATTAATAAATGTCAACTAAATTGACTGGGCTGTGTTCACAGAAATGAAATTACAGTATTCTTATCTGTGAAAGTCAAGCATACCATTAAAAGTTTACAAAAGAACCAATCACATTTATCGTAGTTGCTTAGTACTTGTGTTTTTTTTTAGATTGCCCGTAAAATACAGTGTTAAGCCCTATCTGTCAACTTTGACAGGATTATTATTTCTCAGGTAGTTTGAAGAGTCAGTTGTATTGTCCAGCTAGGTTAACAACAGCTTTCTCTTATGTTTCAGGGAGTCCTAAAGTCAACTGTAATTTCTTTTTTTTTCTTGGTCCCGGGGATTGAACTCGGGACCTTGAGCTTGCGAGGCAGTTGGTGAAACCACTGAGCTAAATCCCCGGCCCTAACTGTAATTTCATTAGCACTGTTTTAAAAATATTTTTGCAAGTCTTCATGGATGCATATATAGTTACTGTTTAAAATTTATTTATAATAAGATTGATAATCTAGGAAATAAGGTTCCCGTGACATACTCCAGGTACTGCTCTGTTAAGACATCTGGTGTTAGGCTAGCAAAACCCTGCTTTTTGTTCTACTAAAACAGTGGTGTAAATTAACTTTGATACAGGGTTATCAGTTTGTCTCTACACTATTTTAATCATTTTAAGAGTATTTTTCAGGTATGGGGCAAATGCCTGTAATCCCACCACTCCAGAGGCTGAGGCAGGAGGATCATTGCAAGTTTGAGGCCAACCTGGGCTACAAGTGAGTTCAAGCCCAGGCTCAACTGCATAGGGAGATCCTGCCTCAAAAAAAAAAAAAAAAAAGAAAAAAAAAAAAAGAAAGACTATTTGCCACCAATTTAATAATAATTAACAGCAGTGGTTGTTTGAATTAGAGCTTTGAAAAGTCTGCATCACTAAAATAGTTATGTTAATCATAGGCTGTAGGTTTTTTTCTCTGTTACAGTTATGATTTCTTGGGCTGAGAGGTTCTCAAGGCCTTGCTTTTGAAATGCCTTGTAAGGCATCCGTTACGATCTATACATCCAATGAAACAATCCCCAAAGTGCAAGTGTATTTCCAAACATAAACTGCATGTGACTAGGCATTTCATTTTATGACATGATCACATGGTAGTCTTAAGTAATTAAGCCTCATTATTAAATGGTTTAAAAATTTAGCCTTGTAAAAGTTGAAGGGGCATTGAATTTTCACTGCAAAATTGACCTACCTAGTTTTCTTATTGATTGTGTGGTACAGTTTATTCCTTTAATAGAGAAAGTAAGAATTTTGAGCGTAGAGTTTTAAAATTACCGAGCACATGTTCATGAAATTAATGTGTGCCTGCTTGCGTGCATGCGAGTATGTGCAGAAGGATGGTGTTCAGAGTTAGGGAATGACAGGCATGTAGAGTACATCATCCTTGTCTTTCTGATGTTGTCCTTCACTCTCTTCTATTCTTTCCCTAAAGCTGTGTGACGCTGGGTCTGACAGACAGAGACAGGTACAGACACTCTCGGTGAAGCCTCATGCTTTTAGACTGCTAGAAGCAATCATTCGCTACGCATGCCGGGCTGTTTATAAATTTCTGCTTATTTCAGTGCCTTGGGTTTATTTTATAGTTGCTTTCAGCCTTTCCATGGCACTCATTTCTGGCTAATCAACTTTGCACTTACTTAATAAATTTATCAGATAATGTTTCAGAGTATAGTTTTAATCTACTTACATTGTAAAATGAAACACCGCGTGGTAATTTTAATGTTTTGATTACTTTTACCTGAAGAAATTCTGATTTGTATGGATTTTGAAGTTTATTTTAACAGTTTAAACACACTAACATTTGCTGTTCAATTTTCTATGTAAGAAAATGTTTTTAAAAGATAAATTCTGATTTATAAAATCAGTATGTTGAAATCATCTATTCTTATAACAGGTAAATTTCAAGTAAGAATGCATGATAAATGTTATAATTTGAACTATTCTGTGTATTCTCCAAGTAATATATTGTTTCTATTAATAATTTATCTGTTGAATGGTTGAAAATGCTTTTTATTTCCTTAGAACTTTTATGCTCTTCTTCCTTTCCTGAGGTTTCTATCTAACAATCATTATCTGGATTATAAGATTTATTTGGTTTCAAAATAATTCTACTGTATATGATTATTATAGGCAAAACCTGGCAGGTAATTACTATTTTCCCTTATTCAAAGAAACTTTTAATGGTTTTCATTAACTGAGAATTTATCCCTTGATAAAGCCCAACTTACAAATAGTCGTGTAAGATTGTAATTTTGTTAGAATCTGATGTCTGTGTGCATCATCTCTTATAAAGTCATTCAAAAATAGTAAATAAATATTTTATATACTCCACAATGTGGGAAAAATATTCTTTTGTGAGTTTTGAATCAAAACCAGTATGTAAATGCAGATGTATGCAGGAGGAGACAGGTTGAGGGAAAAGAGCCTTTGAAGGACAGAAGTAAAGGTCCCCTGAAGATAAGTATTGTCCAGCAGCCAGAGGAGATGAGGCCTGACACACATTGTGTCGCATGTGACCCTGGGAGGCATCATGAGAGGAAGAAATCAGATGAGGAAGCTCCCGCTTAGGTGATGGCGTCCTTGTGAAGTGCTTGGAACAGGCTGTCAGATTGGGAGGGAGAGCGTGGCTGCTGGGGGTGCGGGGAGGAGTACAGGGGCTTCTGCTGGGGGTGAAGATGTTCACACTGGGAAAATACACTTTACAAATTACTGAGTTGCATGCTTTAAATGAGAGAATTATATGGCATGTGAATTGTATCTCAATAAAACTGTTTAAAAAGAAAAACAAAGATAATACAAGTATAGTATTAAAAATTCATAGAAAGCATTTCCAGAGTAGCTAATGGATAATTAATACTTTGAATATTGGGTGTGTTCATCCAGGCAGGAAACAAAACAACGTATAATGATATGGAAACTAAATCATAGAAAGATGAGTGTTTTGCTCTTAGTGCTTTAATATCATTCAACCCTGGACCATATGTGTTACATATTCAATTTATATTTAATTAAAAACAAACTATAAATATATGTGCTTTATACAATACATTCCAGGCATTAATCTCCAAACTTGTGTGGACCTATATCTTACTTGCTAAGACTCCCTAACGCTCACAAAATTACTGCTCTGTCTGTTCAATATGGCCTCATTCCTTAGCTCTATTTATGCTTATATTTAACACCTGTATATGCTGTATACACACACACACACTATGTGTAGTATAGAACTGTCAGTAGCAGCAGTATCACATTACACTTTCATGTTACAAATAATGTTAATAAGTGGCTAACATGTTTTTGACTGTTTAGTAGTCTACTTTTGTCCCAAAAGTGATGAGGGAGCAAAAAGTACATTATAAATGCACATACCTTTGAGGATATAGTAAATTTTATCATCTGAAGGTTAGATTGAAGGTAAACAGGATAGACTATAACATCTTTATCTTTATCCTCTTTATTCCTTGCTTTGTCCTCTCCCTAACCTCCTCAGAAGTAGTTGAAGCAAATTGAGTAGGGAAAGTAGAGCCCCTGGGTTCTGGTCCAGTGGACCCCGGACTGGCTGTACCGTGATGTGGAAGCCCTCACGCAGGCACTAAGGGGCCATAGTGCCTCTCGAGTGTGCGTCAGCACGTCAGAGACTCGCTCAAGACTTGCTCTTGTTATTGAAACCTCGCTCCTCTCACGTAATAGGGCAGCCCCTTCTCTCTTGAGGTTAGGCTGTAAACAACTGCAAACCCCCCCTGGCCTGCCTCGTGAGTGTTCTGTCCTGGAAATGGCTGTGACAGGCCCTCCCTGCTACTCAGTAAGGGTTAACAGTGGTGAGTCTGTCCCTGATGCCGTTTCCTGGCCATCTCCACAGTTCTTGTACATACTTTGTTTCCATAGTGTCACTGAGTGAATTGTTCTGTCGCCTCACCCCATATATCTGGTGTTAAATGCTGTCCTACTTGTGTTTTTTCCTTGACTTCCCAGGGATCAGGCCCGGCCACTGGACCAGTGCTGTCCCTGAACTCAATGAACGTGGACGCTGTGTGTGAGAAGCTGAAGCAGATCGAGGGGCTGGACCAGAGCCTGCTACCACAGTACTGTGCCACGATCAGAAAGGTGTGGCATGTGCACTCATGGCCGCTGGCTCAGACCGAGTCTTGGGGAGGGTCTTGCTGGAACGGGGGCACTGGGTGAGAACAGGACCACGCCAGTTTGTATCCCAGCACTGCCCTTTATCTCTCAGTTGGTGAATGGATCAGAGAAAGTAAAGGAACTGGATGACAGCGTTACCTGAGTGTAAGATGCCTCGCCAAGAAGCACAGGGCTTGGGATTCCCCCTGAGCTGAGCAGGTCATCTGCCCAGTGTGGAGCAGAGAGCACTTGAAGGCCTTCTTAGGTGGTCTGTTTTCTTAACTGTATAGGTCAAGTGTCCCTAATCTGAAAATCTGAAATCCAGAATGCCCTGAAATCTTAAATTTGTGACCATGAGGATCAATATAAGTTTCACACTTCAGATTTTTAGATCAGGATGCTTAGCTGCTGAAGTCCTTATTCCAAAACCAGGAGGACTCTGGAATCAGAGGCACTGTGAGCGGGTCATTTAGAAGAAGATACTCAACCTGCAGTGTATTATTTGCAGGATTTCGTAATTATCAAAGCCAGCCACACTTGCTTTGTTTCCCACAGACTCATTTTTGTGGGGGATTTTTTCGGGTTTTTTTTTGGTACCGGGGATTGAACTTGGGACCTTGTGCTTATGAGGCAGGCAGTGGAACCACTGAGCTAACTCATTTTTGCATCAGACAGGACTTACGACCCTGTCACACTTGATGAAACCACGTAAACATGGGTTTGCAGAGCTAACACCTGTGTGTGAGGCTGTTTCTTTTGAAACCCTATTCTTGGGCTGGCAGGGAAGGTGTTCCCCAGGCAGAGTTAACTGAGTCTTCTTAGAGTGGGTTTCCCTATCTAGTTTCACTTTTGTGTCAGAGAATTAGAGTATCAGCAGTAAGCCTCTGATGTTGGCATACTTGAAAAAATGGAATGGAAGAGAACATTTTAAAACAATCACCAGCATGTGTAGGCACCATTGTACTAATCTCAGCCTGCATTGGGCCAGGCAGGCGTCAGCGATTCCCGCTTCCTCCTGAGCTCTGTCTGTGCTGCCTGTGGGAGCTGGCACCCTGGCAGCCTGGCAGCCTGGCCGGTGTGCAGACCCAGCCTCTGGCCACTGGGAGTGCGGGAAAGCAAGGGCTCTGCCCGGCCCTCACAGTGATTCAGTTCCCATTAGGACAGGGAGCTTCTTTCCACTGATTGTTACTCCAGCCCTGGCTTCTTGGAACCTGGTACCTGGAGGTTCCCAGTGCTCCCCACACTGAAGACCTGAGGCCAGTCAGAGGAGGCCGGCTGCATCCGGTGTTCTCTTCAGAGTTTGCAGGGAATCCGAACATCCCCCTAATTCTAAGCACAAGTGTTCTGAAATTCTACCACAGTTAGTAAAGTCAGGTTTTATAGTTCATAAAACCAATGAGCTACCTATTGTCAGCAAAGGAAACACTACTGCTTATTTGAGGGAAACTACCATTAGAGAGACTGAAAAGTGATGAGATAAGCATGTGTGTGTGCGCGTGTAAGTGTGAGTTTAACATATGTCTGGGAGTTAGGAGATGCCGTCATTTCTGTACAGGCCCTATAACTGATGAACCAGCTTGTCAGGCACACTTTATTTAGATTTAACTTTATCACCACCCAACACCCTCAGGACAAATGTCTTTCTCACCTCCAAGCAACTCTGTTCATCTTCATCTTCTCTGAGATTAGAAAAAAAAAAACCTTAGCAGTTTGTTTGCGGTGGGCGGTGTCGGGGAGGATTGGCTCTTGGCGTGGTCCCTGAGGAGGGATTGATTTCACTGGAGTGCTCGACACTTGGGAAAAGGAGGAGGAGCTTCTGCTCAAACTCAGCTCATTTATTACATTATCGCGCGGGACGGTGACCTTTTTGGGGTCAGCTGTTCCAGTCTTTAAAGACTTCCTTAAAACTATAAGTGTACTTTTTAATCGCTGGTAACTTAGCATATTTTGCATTTTGTTTGTCTTTATAGTTGTTTTTATTTTTTTCTTAGGCAAACATAAATGGCCGGGTGTTAGCTCAGTGTAACATTGATGAACTGAAGAAAGAGATGAATATGAATTTTGGAGACTGGCACCTTTTCAGAAGCACGGTAAGATAATTATAACATCAGTTTATTACAACCAGTCAAATTATTTATGACATTATACACAACCAGTACCAAGCATTCGGGTGCAAACTGGTAGTGTCCTGTCGTTAGCATCAAACTGAGTCTTAACTTGGGAGACCCCTGTGAGGGGGAGCAACTCTGCCTTCGCGATGTTGCATGCAGAAGCCCCAGGGCGTGGTGGCGCTGCTCCTCTCAGCTTCCGGTTGCCAGAGTCTTCCTGAACTAACTGCAGAAGCCCTGGGAGGCCTCGAGCCTCCCTGCAGCGGCTGCCCTGCCTGTCAGGGTGCTGCCCAGCTGTGTCACTTGCCTGGCCCTGCTCACCCCTGCTGTCTGGTCAGACTCCTCACTGTCTGCCCCCAGCGGCACCAAGAACCCATCAGGTCTGTCACCCGAGTCCCGCACCCTACTCCTGCCCGCTTCTGGCCACGGCTCCCCCGTGTCCTGCTGTCTTCGGAGCTGACCCGGCTCTAGACTGGGTTCTCTTTTCCCTGATTAAAGTCTGCTCTTCCTGCTTCAGGGACACACTCCAGCCACTTTTCATTCCCTTCTCAAGTTTTAAGCTGAAGTAACCATGTAAGGGATGAGCCAGAGTGGCTTGCTGTACTGAAATGATTTCTGCCATTACTTTATTGCTTAAAAATACGATGTAGTATACATTCATTAGAAACTCCCTGACAAGGGCTGGGGATTTAGCTCAGTGGTTCCGCCACCTGCCGTGAAAGCGCAAGGTACCAAGTCTGATCCCCAGTACCAAAGAAAAAGAAATTCCCTGACAGGAAGTACACTTTCTCGCCTCCATCATAATTTATATTTTATTTTCAAAAACTCTTTAAATTTTTATTTATTCATTCATTCATTTTTTATTTTGGAAACAAGGTCTTGCTATGTAGTTCAGGCTGGCCTAGAATCCCTGCCTCAGTCTCCTGAGTGCTGGGATTACTGGCGTGCACCACCACACCAACTATTTCTAATGTATGATATGTCAGTGTAGATGTGATGTTTTCCCTCCTGTCCAGATACTAGAAATGAGAAACGCAGAGAACCAGGTGGTGCCCGAAGACCCCCGTTTCCTCCCTGAGAACGCCAGCACCGTAGCTGCCCACGGGGAGTCCGCCCGCCGGTCCTCACACACTGAGCTGCCGCACACTGAGCTCTCCGGCCAGGCGCCCTACACGCTCAACTTCAGCTTTGAGGAGCTCAACACGCTGGGCCTGGATGAGGGGGCCCCAAGGCACAGCAACCTGAGCTGGCAGGTGTGTGTGGCTCTCCTTGTGTGACTGGAGGGTTGGGTGCACCCCGTTCCCGAGAATACACAGTGCACAGTGCTCCAGTGTCTGCACCAGAGTCGGGGGCCGCAACTATGGGCAGATTAGAGCATGCTCTGTGTATGGAGTGGTCCCTGCCATTCTTTCTTTCATACTGTTAATAAGTGAAAAGTAAGATGTAGCACATGCTCACTAGAAACCCCTTTCAGGAAGTCCACCTTCTCGTTTCCATGACAGCAACTCGGTGTCGTGTGGCCCTCGGGAGGCTCCGGCCACAGAGCATCCCCACTGGGAGCAGCACCCCCAGCCTGGCCTTGGGCACTGCATGCCCCGTGGCGTGGTCTTGGGAGGGACAGTAAGGAGCAGGAAGAGGCAGGGGGAGAGACAGGTGAAGGACCAGGAGGGAGTCAGCTGTGGTGAGAGGGAGTGGGGAACAGAAGCCAGCAGCCCATGGACAGGTGGCACCTGGCAGGCGGCTTTCTACAGGTGTTCTGTTCCATGCTGAAGGTATTTACTGTTCCTTTGCACCATACTGTCTACCTTAGCTCATTTTATCATTGCATATTGGCTCCTTCAGGGAAGAGTGAGGTATTTGGGATAAGCCAAGACCACTCCTGGAACCTCAGTGTCTGTCTCGAACCCTGCTGTGCCCCTATTCCCTGAGGAGCCCCTGTCTCCTAGGGAGCCCTCTCCCGGCCCAGCCCTGAGGCCTAGCGCCCCTCTCCCCCTCAGCATTCCCAGGGGTCCCAGAGAACTGTACCCCACGTACTTCCGGTGTCACAGACCCAAACGGAAGTGTTTCTATGTATTTCTTAATGTATTTAAAATAAATTTATTATACGTTAACATAAATAACATCGTTATGAAAAATTACATTTTTATATTTTTCAAAACAAAGTCAAATGAGGATGGGATTGTTTTGCCATCCGTTAATGCCTGTCTTCATGGAAGATGATGGGGTCCCCTGTGTGCTGCTTCCTGAAATCTGGGGTGATGTCACATGCTTATAGCCGTTTTAATGTGTGATTCCACTGTGTAGTAGGGTCCAGCTGAGGTCTCATGCCACCTGTGCTGCACATCAGAAACCTTCCTTATCTCTTCTATTACACTGTTCCTTTTGGGCTCCTCCTCCTCCTCCCCCTCCCCCTCCCCCCCTTTTTTCCTCCCTCTCCTCCTCATTTTTCTTGGTAGTTGAATATATTCTCTTCCTCTAAATTGATATTTGAAAGAAACTTCATACTTATACAAACTGAGAAAGACTTTTACACACCTTGAAGACTACAGCATTTTGTTTTAACTCTTCTTTGTCTCTTCCGAGAGGAATTTTTAGAAAAAATAACCGGTCTTAAATAAAATTTAAAAATTTGAAGTTATAAAAGCAAATGTTAAGATTACCTAACATAATCTTTCATTATACTTTTAAATATTAACAGTGAGTTAATTTTAAAATTTTGCTAAGCGTCCTAATAACAGAATTATTACTAAGTTAACAGCTTTTGTTAACTCACATCAGGTAGAATTCCTTTCAGAAAACTTGGTATTTTGATGAATTTTGAAATTGTGTGTATATATATCTGTTCCCTGAGCTGATGTCTCTTTATGTTTTCCCATCTGAGTATCTCTTCTGTCTTCACAGTCGCAAACTCGCAGAACACCGAGTCTCTCGAGTCTCAACTCGCAGGACTCCAGCATCGAGATCTCCAAGCTGACAGACAAGGTGCAGGCCGAGTACCGGGATGCCTACCGAGAGTACATCGCGCAGATGTCCCAGCTGGAAGGGGGCCCGGGCTCTGCCGCTGTCAGTGGCCGCTCCTCCCCACACAGCACCTACTACCTGGGGCCCAGCTCGTCGGGGGGCTCGATCCATTCCGGCCTGGAGCTGGAGAAGGGGAAGGAGGGTGAGCCGAAGCCAGATGAGGCACGGAAGCCCTTCTTGGCGAAGCGCACAGATGTCCTGGACTACTCATCCTCAGGCGTGTCCACGAGCGATGCATCACCCCTAGACCCCATCACGGAGGAGGATGAGAAGTCCGACCAGTCGGGCAGCAAGCTGCTCCCGGGCAGGAAGGGTGCTGAGAGGCCCAGCCTCTTCCAGACAGAGCTGAAGCTGAAGGGCGGCGGGCTGCGGTACCAGAAGCTGCCCAGCGACGAGGATGAGTCTGGGCCCGAGGAGTCGGACCACACGCCATTGCTCAGGGACGACAAGGACAGGAAGGCTGAGGGCAAGGCCCCGGAGCACGGCCCCGAGCCCCTGCGGACCTTCGCCAAGGCCAAGGAGTACCTGTCGGATGCGCTGCTGGACAAGAAGGACTCGTCAGACTCGGGGGTGCGCTCCAGCGAGAGCTCGCCCAACCACTCTCTGCACAATGAGGCATCCGACGGCGCACAGCTGGAGAAGGCCAACCTCATCGAGCTGGAGGACGAGGGCCATGGTGCCCGGCGGGGGCTGCCGCACAGCCTGAGCGGCCTGCCCGACCCTGTGCTCGCCCGAATGTCCATCTGTTCGGAGGACAAGCAGAGCCCTTCCGAGTGCAGCCTCATCGCCAGCAGCCCCGAGGAGGGCTGGCCCGCCTGCTCCCGGGCCTACAACCTCAACCGCACGCCCAGCACTGTCACGCTCAACAACAACTCCGCACCTGCCAACAGGCCTGGACAGGGCTTGGATGACGTGGAGGGTGTGCGGGAGACCTCGCAGGTCCTGCTGCGGCCCAGCTCTGGCCCCGGCCCCGGCCCCAGCCCCACCACGCTGCAGAATGAAAATCTCAAGAGCTTGCCACACAAGCGGGGTCCGCGCACCAGCTACATCAGACTCCCCAAGGAGCCCTCAGAGCTGCACTCGGGAGCCCCGTCTGACAGCACAGGCTTCGGAGAAGAGAGAGAGAGCATCCTGTGAGATGCCTGCCTTTCGGGGAGCAGCGCCTCCGTCCCGCAAGAGCACCCGTCCACGCTGTCCCTGCCCACCCTCCCTCCCTTCCTTCCTTCCAGACCACAGCCCGGGGAGGCGGTCACCAGCTGGCCCCTGTCCAGTTCTCCCTGCTCTTATCAGACCTTTCTTTCTCATGCAGTGCAGTCAGCATCTCTGAGAGGAGATCTGAGGAGAGAGCCAGCTCAGAGACATTGAACCAGCTTCGTTTGCAAAAAAAAAAAAAAAAAATCTAGGGATCCCTTTTCAGAACATGCATTCATCAAACATGGAAGGAAGACCTGGTGCTGGATGGAGCAGAAGCCAGTCTCCCTCCTGAGGCTTTAATATAGAGAAGAAATGTAGGATCTGGAGCAGCGCAGACTCAAGGTGGATGGATGCCCAGTGAGTTAGGAGCCTCAGTTCATTCTAATAGGAAAATTGCTGTCAAAGAGATGTGAAACTTTAAGTAGAAAATACAGAATGATAAGGCTTTAAAAATGGACGAGGAGGGCCAAGGATTTAGCTTAGTGGTTCTGCCGCCTGCCTTGAAAATGCAAGGTCCCAAGTTCAATCCCTGGTACCAAAAAACAAAAAAAAAAATTGGATGAGGAAACCCAGGTATGATGGCACACACTGGTAACCCCAGCACTCTGGGAAGCTAAAGCAGGAAGATTGCAAGTTGGGCCACTCGGCAACTTGGCGAGACCTTATCTCAAAATAAGAAAGCGTTGGGGATGCAGCCCAGCATGAAGGTCCTGGGTTCAGTCCCTCAGACCCTCAGAGCTGATGAGAAAGTGAGCCAGCAGTGGAGCTCTTGCCCAAGGCCCAGGTCTCTCATCCCAGGGGCCCAGCCTCCATTCCAGCACCTTCCAGCCAAGCCTGAGCACCTTATACAGGATGTGCAGCTCTCATCCACTGGTGCCAGCCTTTCTCAGTGAACTGAGCATCTCGAATTCTTCTCTGGAGAGAACTGGGGAGGTGTGGGTAAGAACAGACACAAAAAGTTCATGGGATGAATGTGTGAGGAAATCGTATCAGAAATGTTGGTAGCAGCTGACAAATGGCCAGGAAATATTTAATAGACGAAACAAAGCCGTTATCTCCTATGGCAGGTCACAGTTTACTTCTTTCGTCTGTTGCTAAATCAGCACTAATTCTGGAGGAATACTATAAAAAAGGAAAGCATTTAAAAGTAAAAGCAAGAGGAACATGAAGCTAAAACTGGAGTGACCATAGATCTTGCTGCTTTGTGCTTCTGTGAGCCCAGCTCACAGAAGAGACCACTGAGGTGGACGTCAGCATGCAGTGAACTTCCTTCTTGTTCCAACAGCTCACTGACAGGAGGCAAGGGCGGGACGCACATGGGACAGTGGGTGTGGCTGGCTGGCCCTGGGCTCCTCCTGCAGCATTCATCTTCATAGGAAGTGGCGCCTCAGTTCTTAAATGCTTCTGCTGGCAGTTTGATTCGCAGACAGAAGCATTTGGTAAGATTTTGTTTTTGTTTGCAAACTCTGCATCGGGTAACGAACACAACCACAGCCATCTTTCCCCAAGTCAAATTAAGTTGGAGAGCCGAGGCCCTGCTGTACCGGGAGCCATCTTCGTGGTCCGTCCTCAAGCTGACTCCTGCCCATCTGCCCAGTGCCGTGGTGTTTGGGTGTAGTGAGCATTTCCGTAAAGTGTGTGTTCTGCATGATCTTCAACAAATACTGTAAGCACTGAAGAAGGCAGGATGTATCTGCATTGTATACTGAGGTGGTAACATTTTAGTGTCCTATAGCGCCACTCTGTGTGCTTAGTGATTCTTTGTGGCCCTCTTGTACTCTCGGGTGAGTAGTGCCGCTCCCTGTCGTTGGCGACATTTGTGTCCATTTGTGACAGTGATGCCGGTGTTAAGTATACAACTAGATTCAGAAAACAATAAAGAACTGCATGCTATTCTGACTTGTAAGTTTTTATTCACGACAGTGATAATGATTCACATTTTTATTAAAAATAGTCATTTGTGTGCTTGTGTGGGCACGCCTGTGAAGTTTGTGAGCACTTCTGGGCTCAGAGCCAGGTGGTGGGCACTGGCCAGCCGCACCACCAGGCCTCTGGAGGAGCCTGCAATGTGGGCCCCGGGCCTACCCTGTGCTTCCTGGAAGCCACAAGCACTTCGTGGCGCCCTTCTGCAGTGAGAGTCACTCTTGAGACCCCTGGGGGAGAAGATTTAGCACAGGAGCATTCTGGACAAGCTTGCTCTTTCATTCCCATGCAGAGATCCGAGAGCCAGGTGGGTTCTGAGTCCCATGCCCCTTGCTTTGGACGTGTGTGCGTGTGCATCTGTGACTAATACACAGCCCTGTCTGCTTCACACGAAGCAAGGCGAACATGATAGGAACTGGGGTTGCATAGTCTTGGGTGAGCTGAGCTCCCTGCGCTGGAAGCCGAGGGTGGGTCAGGGAGTGCAGCACCCTTCGGAGCCGGCCCCACCAACCCAGCCTTCTGGACCAGACTCGAGTCAGATGGCTTTACCAGCACCTGAGTTTCGAGGACAGCTCCACCTTGCTGGGAAACAAGCATCCGTAGCTAAACCAGCATCTCCAGTATCAGAAGGAAAACTTGTCTTCGGTTATATTTTACTTCCATGAGATTTGTTTATACAGTAATCAGAATGATTTTAATTACCCAGTTAAGTAATTTTAGAAGTATATTTGCTAAAACCCTCATCAGAGACTACATTATCTGCACGTCCCAGTGCTGCAGTGAGGTAGCTGTGATCATTTCCCCTTAGTAATCATTAGCATCTTTAAATGAAACTGAACCCTTTTTTCCTTCTGCCTAAAATACTGTACTAACTTAAAAAGCCTGAAGATCACATATCGTTTGGTTACACTGGGAATTCTCAGCCTGTTCCTGGCTAACTCCTAAGTCTCCGAATGACCAGGAGCAAAGGGAAGCTGTTCCCTTTATTCTGTGGGTGAGAGATCTTGGACACACAGGTAGGAAGGAAGAGGCCATGATGTTTACTCTTGGCCAGCCCTTGAAACTGGCTCACAGGCTCCATTGTCCCCTTTTGCAGTCGTGACAGTGAATTGGAAAATAGAAATTTGCTGTAGGTAACGGCAGGCCAGCACTAGATGGCTTTTTAATGATTCGTCATTTCTCAAAGGTTGAGAATCCCTGGTTGGGACTGACTAAATAGACTTGAAAGCCTTATGTAATTTTAAACTTTTCCTGCCTAGGAAGAAAATGCCGTCCTTGACATAGATAGCTTCTCCAAGGACACAGATTAAGGTATGTGAGAAGGTAGTTTCCAAGTTAGTGTTCTCAGCATGCTGCCAGACACCCGTCAGAGGCTTCTGGAGTGATTGTGGGAAGTAACCACGGTCATTGCCGGAGGAGGCTCTGCAGGGACACGGGACTGAGGCACAGGCCTGGCTGGGTCACCGCCAGAGTCTGCTGGTCCCGGCCTGCAGGGCGGAGGCTTCCCAAAGCCCTGAGAGCCGAAGCCCTGGGTGTGGGTGCAGTGGCTTCAGGAGCCCTCCTGGTTTATGGGGACAGGGCAGCATTGGGGAAATGAATTGATAAGGACAGGGTGCAGGGGGGAGAGCAGGCGCAGGGCCCCGACTGGGTCCAGACGCCATCACCTAGTAGACTGCAATCTAAGAAAACGCAGCTTAGCAGCCGGCGCCTCAGATCATGGCCAGGACGGGTCCCCACCCGGGAAGGGGCCATGTCCACACTTAGGAGGGAAATGCTCCTGCACGAGGGGAGAGAGGACATTGTGATAGGTGAGGTTTCTGCTCCTGTCCCCCAGCCTTCCCCTAGGTGGCTCTTGCGAAGCCAGTACAAACCTGACTGGAGTCCAGCCCCAAATGGCAAAAGAGTCGAGTCCGTCCTGCTGTGAAAGTACAGGCGGCTCACTCTCCCGGACCAGAGTGCCCCGAAGCTGCCGGCGGGGAGTGGTTAGTAGTCTGGGTTACAGGTCCACAGGGGCCTGCTGCCTCCGGTTAGGGAGGCAATCCCAGCACTTTGGGAGGCTGAGGCGGGAAGATGGCTGGGAGTTTGAGGCCAGCCTGAACTACGTTACACACATACGAGGTCTTTCTGGGCTTTTTTTGTTTGTTTCCTAGTGATATATTGTCAGGAGCCCTTCCTTAGTTTTCCTGTGAGCAAAATGTGGGATAATAGCAAAAAAAATTTTTTCATAAATTTTACTTTAAAAAATACATTTAAAAATTCGAATTAAGAATCCGCTTGAAAGCCACCTTGATTGTTCACTAACGTTTGTAGTTGTAACACACTTTGCGCTTGTTCCCTTGTTTCTTTGAAGGCATCAGGCATTGGGCTCGAGAGCTGAGTGCCCAGCCCCGGCCCGCACCCTACTTCTTCACAGAACGCCCCACCTCGCCGGCCTCTGCTGCAGACCCCGGCGGCCCCAGGGGCCCCGGCCGGGCGGCTCCCACCTTCGGGAAAGTCCGGAAAGCGGCGCCGGGCTCCGCGGGAAAAGGCGCCTGTCGGGCCGAGCCGCCCATCAGCCTACTGCTCTGCTTCTGAGCGTTCGCAAACTGCGGATCATTCTGTTTAATGCAAATTCAGCTGTTTTTATTTTGAAATGAGTTATTTTCTTTCGGGGTTCCTCGTGTTTTTCTTCTCCTCTCCCCAGCTTCCTTTTAGCCTTCCCAGTCTTAGGTGCGTGCGCTCTTTGTTCTGGTGGTGTTTGGTTGCCTTCCGCTCCGCTCCCTCGCCCCAGGCCGCCGCGCTTTCTCCTCTCGCTGCCCACGCCCACCTGACCTTCAGTGCTGCCCTCCATTCCGCGGCTTCTGCTCTGTGCGGACGGAGCTGCCGGGCCCGCGTGCATTGGCGCCGCCGGCCTCGCGCCGGTGTGCGTTTAAACTGTGCCTGAGCAGACGCCGGCAGGACCAGGGTCCCATGGTGGAGGGCTGACCGGTCCTGGCTGCCTTACTTATCTAGTCACCAGCCTCGGTCCCTTCATCTACAAAAAATACAGATGAGCCGGCAGGGTGGTGCACTCCAGTGAGCCCAGCCCTCGGGAGGCAGAGGCAGGAGGATCACAAGTTAGCAAGATCCTGTCTTGGAATGGAAGTGGTAAAGGGCCATTCCTCTGATAATCGGTCCTTCTTCCCAGTGTCACGCCCAGGTCCGGTGCACGGTGCGAGTCACTTTGCAAACCGCGAGGGGAGACAGCTCAGGGCTCCCTGCAGCTGGGGCCCAGGGGAGCAGCGGAGGCAGCCCGGCCCCAGCAGTGTGAGGCCCCAGTCTCCCCTGGGGCCCTCCCCTCCCCGGTGGGCGGGCCCCTGGTCCTCAGGCCCCGATTGGTGTGAAAGGACTTTCGCAGGCAGAGGGGAGAACACTGCCCAGAGTGCGGCCTGGTTAAAGGTTTGTGCTGAACAGAATGGTTTGCTTAAAGTGTGGTGTAGCCTACTGTTAGAAGTTTTATGGACTTCATTTTATATGAAGGACAGAAAAGGAAATGTTTCTGTTCAACACATAGTAGGTACTGGCCATGATGGTGCACACCTGTGATCCCAGCCCTCAGGAGGCTGAGGCAAGAGGATCACCAAGTTTAAGACCAGCCTGGGCAACTCAAGGAGACCCTGTCTCGAAATAAAATTTATAAAGGGGTGGGGATGTAGCTCAGTGGCAAGCACTGGGTCCTAGGTTCAATCCCGAGAACAACAATAGCAGGAAGTTCTTAGTTAACTCATAAAACTGAGTCCTGAATATAGTAATATATACAAACATGAAGTTCTCCAAAGAGAACTTTGGTTTTAGCTCAACATTCTTTATTTGTTTTTTTGTTTTGTTTTGTTTTTTTTGCTACCGGGGATCGAACTCAGGCCCTTCCGCTTGCGTAGCAGGCGGCGGAACCACTGAGCAAATCCCCAGCCCAACATTATTTGTAAATTGAAAATTCCAGGTGCAGACCGTTCTCTAGCATGCTGCAACTTGTTTCAACTTGCAGCAGAATTAATCCCAACATTGCCTAAGTTAATGTACTTGGAGCCTTAACAAATAGAAGAATGTGTTATTATGCATTAGCTTGGAAGGAAGTGACCATTATGTAGAGTCAGGAATTAACAGCAAGGATTGTGTGTGTGTGGTGTCAGGTTTTCATGTAAAACTGAAATGCATAAAAAGGGACTTGACAGGAATAAAATGACATCAAAAGTGAGTGTGGGATAGCCAGGTGTGGTGGCACATACCATAATGTCAGCACTGGGGAGGCTGAGACAGGAGGATCATTGCTGAGAGTTCAAGGCCAGCCTGGGCTACATAGTGAAACTCTGTCTCAAAAAACAAAGCTGACAAAGCCAACTACAGGGAGAATGACTGAAGTTCTGAGCCTACATCACAAAAAGATGACTTTAATACAAGGTAAGACTTTTCAAAATCCACACCATGGCTTTGAATGACAAGTGGAGAAATCAGAGGTTTAGCACTTGTTCTGGTTTTTCAAAGGAAACTGGACAAAAATAGCTTGGATTTGAGGAAAACAGTAATTGGTGATGAAAGGTGGTGTTTCTCTGTGACCCAGAAACAAAAGTGTCAAAGTTTGCCCTGGAAAATTACAGCATTCCCCAGATCCCAAGAAGCGCACTCCTCAAAATCACAAATGTGAAGCACATGGCCTGTGCCTCTGCCATCTGCGCTGCTGTTGGAGCCGAGGGGTCAGCAAGGCCCGCATTGCCGCTCACACACAGTCCCAGCAGGTGAGGGACCGACCGGCGCCGCTGCTACCCAACCCTGGCACCAGTCCACTGGGATGGGTGTGCAGGGGAGCATTTTCTGGGTATAACTGGTTACTGGGTTTATTATCTCCACCTTTCCCTTGGGGTGTTCTGTGGAAATTGGGGTCTGCCAAGAGGGTAGCACATGTTACTTAAAAAACAACCCCACCCCAAAGAAACAGATCCAGACAGGCATGGTGG